ACCAGTCCTTTTCACGTATACATCATGGTACGGATCTGCCTTTTTCCTTGCTGGGTTTATCATATCACCATCGGCAACTTTCTGATGCTCTCTCTTTCTCAAACCTCCAAAGGGCATCCTCCTCATGGCCAGATCCCATACTGACACTTGTCAGTAATGACCTGGAAGTCCCATGAATTCCATTAAGATGAAGATTTACTGCCATTTGTTCTACCTAACACTGTGCTAGGCAGCTGGCTCACTTTATGAAAACAGATGCCTCAGCTGAAATCTCAGGCAACACCTCCTCTACCCAGTAGCTATCTATGTGACTAGTGGACTCTGGACAAAGGGGTGAAACAGGCAATGATGGTGCAAACATTCTAGGTGCTGGAACTTCATATGAGGCACGTTTTTCACTTTCCTGTCCTGAATGCTGACATAGTCCTATTCTCTCTATCCAACTGCAACAATCAAAAACTCTTCTTTTAAAACATTCACTGCAAGGTATACATGGCTGACAGCAACCTCAGACATGGCCTCCTCCTCAAGGGGTTCTGAATTTCAACCAAATGTTTAGGGTAACAAAGTCTTAGCAAGACTTAGACTTGAGAGCAGGCAATTCAGGTTCCAACCTTAATCACACTATTCACTCCAGCAGCCAACCCAACCTTGGTGGGGAGGAGAAGGGAAATTGAAGGCAGTGAGGAGACAGATTCCTCTCACAATACGGAAGGATACTCAGAGATGAAATAGAGGGTACTCACCCAACTCGTTATCCTGGGCTGGCTCCTAACAAATGTGGGGTTTCACTTCTCAGGTTTATATACCACACTCTTTTCTGCCCTGGTTTGTTTTAAATCCCACCGTGCTTGGGCAGCCTACTGCAGACTTCTTCTTGCCAGGAGTACTTCTCATACTTAAGAGCTCATGTCCCTTGAATATGATAATATAATGTCATATCTATTCTTCTGCTCCCATTTTGCATGAAAATGTATTTAAGATAGTTAATAAAAAGAAAATAACATCTCATTGATGGTCCAGCAATGGTGCTGTCTTCTTTAAGTCCCAATGATATTTCTAGAAACTTCCATAATGGCCTGGAGACATAGTTATCTGTTATATTCTTCAGTGTTTGTAGTATCACTCTGAGGCCCAATCTCACATACTTGTGATAATTGCTCCTAATTTGTCCTCTTAACTAGTTTGTGAGAACTTGAGGGTGCAGAATATGATTTACTCATCATTTTATTCCATCTAACTTAATGCCTGGTACTTATACAGTCAATGAATCCTAGACCATTCAGTCTCTTAACAAGTTTGGTGGGTTTAGGGATCGCTTGCCCTATTGAACAGTTTGGTTGAATTCTGTTAACTCTTAAGCTTTCAGTTTTCTCCTTTTCTTTCCACCATATTTTAGGATTTAAAGGAAGCCAGATGACTCGAAGTGTTCCTTTTAATCACAGTTCCCATCCACCATAACATTTTAACTTCCCAAGACAGTGGAACCAAGAGGGAGGCTATAATTAGACCAGCATCCACCTTCCCCAGTGTACCCCAGGACTAAGCTGAATAACCACCACAAACCCCAAACTCTCAGTCCATCTATCATGCACACTCTGAGATTTTTCACTATCCAGTTCTATATGAACCCTGAACTGATCCAGTGCACGTCCCCTCACAAACACCCTCCCTTCACTGTGGTCACTAGAAATAGTCATCGCAACATTCTCTAAAATCCTCTTCTTGACTGGTCTTCTTTTAAATATATCACCTATCTCAAACAGGTCCTTGCATTTCCTGGTAACTCAACTAAATTTCCATAATCTACTTACTATCTCATCTCAAAGATGAATGTTTCACACCTTCTCTTTGCTCCTCAAACTCTCATCATTTCTTATTCCTTCCTTATTTTCTTATCTCATTGAAGACAAAAATACACCCCAAAGAGATCTCTCTTTCTCCCTATCCATCCCAACCTGCCTCTGCTCATCAACCTTGCTTCCCTGTCATTTCCCAACCCTCCACTTGGAATCCCACTTCCGCCTTGTCTATACCATCAATATCTCTAATTTGTCATTCCCATCAGAATATAAATATGAAGTTCTACCTCCCACTTTTGAAAATTCTTTCTAAATTCTTCTATTCTTCCAGATACATTTTGTTTCTCTGTCCAGTAAAACCTTTTCACTTGCTTCATTGTGTAAAACCTTTTCACACTTGCCTATTTTCACAATCTCCACCTTTCCATTTTTTGGTCTCTTGAAAAGCAATCAGACTATGGCTATATCCTGAATGTGCCCTGTCTCGTCTAAAAATAATCAGGCATTTGTCTTCACTTCTCCACTGGTACTACTATCATTGCCAAGTATAATGTTGATACCTAGGCCTCCTGCTGAATATTCTTGTCTTCTTGCAACATTTCCATTCAGCTTCATAGATGTCACCCTCTCCTGGATTTTCTCCTACATTCCTGGCCACTCCTTCTCAATTTCTTTTATTGGTTGTTTTGCCTCCTTTTCTTGACCCCCAGGTATCAGAATGCTCCAATGTTCAGTCTTTATCTCTTTTTTCTCCCCTCTGTCTTATAGATCACTCCATTACTGTGGTAAAAGTATGTTGCTGTGTCTCAAGTTTATATCTGTGTTCCAGCTTGCCTTCTTAGTTCCAAATTCATTTCTCTAACTGCCTACTTGGCATCTCTCCTTAGATATCTAAAATATATTTCTCAACATAGGCCATATAAATAAACACTTTCATTTTCCTCTCCCACTGGCCCCCAACTACCCAATCATCCTCTAGTTTTCCTAATTACAGTAAAATACACTACTACCTACCTAGTTGTTTAGGCCCCTAACCTGGAAGTTATCTTAAAGCCTCTCTTTTTCTTAAACCTTTTGTCCAAACTTGCCACATTCAACTTTGAAATAAGTTCTGAATGTGATCATTTCTCATCTTTTCTAGCTGCCCTACCCGAGTGCAAGGCACCATGATCTGTCTCCCCTCTAATTCCTAGTGGGTCTCCCTGTTGTGGCACACTCTCAACCCAGCTATCAGAATGGCCCTTTAAAAATACAAACCAGATTAACCTCACTCATGCTAGAAACACTTTGGTAGGATGGCTTCCCATCACAATCTGAAAATAGGTCTCTCCAGCTTTTCAAAAGTTTGGGGACTTTGCCACTTTGCTTTTATAAAAGACCTAGTACCTGTCTTAGTAACTGAAAGAAATCCCCAGAGGAATTTCACAAAAACAGTGGTTGGCATTGGTTTGGCAGCAGCCATTCGAGAGTCAGTACCTGCCCCAAGATACAAAAGTGGCACCCAAAACTCCTCTGAAACTGAGATACACACACATACACACACACACACACACACATACACACATACACACACACACACCCTTTATGTTAATGCTATTTTAGGTTTTATGTTATTAGTTCTGATTTGGTAGGTTACTGGAGATAGGAGAATGCTCAAAGATTTTTCCATATAAATTAATGGTACTTTCTTCTTTACACCATTTGGTTTGTGGAAGGTTTCACAGGAGCAATCTACTTTCAGATAGTAGAGGTAATCTAGATTATGCAAATTTAGTCTTAGAGATCCTTATTACTTAGAACTTGTCTGTCTCCCAGTCTCTCTTTGGGCTTATCTTTCTTTTCACTCGCTCTAGTTCAGCCACGCTGGCCTCCTTGCCCTGAGTCAAATAGGTCAGCTTCTTTCCCATCTTTGTATTCACTGTTCCTTCTGCATAGAAAGTTCTTCCTCCCAGACTTTGTGAGTCTTGCTCCTCCCTTCAGACACATTTTCAGAAGGGACTTTCCTGACCACTCATTCCATCATTCTGTCACTCTAACCTCTTATTCTGCTTACCTGAAAAATCCCTTTCCCTACCCCACACTTGCCATTTAAGAGTACAAATGCATATCTCATGGAGTTGCTGAGAGGACTAATAAGATTAAAAGTCTCGTCATGTGTCTGGAACATAGTGGGCCCTCAAAACAGAAAATCTATTGCATAGATTTGCAAATTAGGGTACTTTAAGTACATGTCATTTAAATTTGGCTCTAAAGCAACAGAAATGGACTTTCATTAATTTTATGAGGATTTCTTATTTGCTAGTAAGTCTATATTTGAGCTCACAAACCCAAAATAGCAAACAACCATTTTGGGATCTCAGGAAGGCCTTTCAGAGATAGCGGACTAGCCCAAGTCTGCTGATATTTATAATGAGCTAATTAGTTTTGACAACAGCTAATTTGGCATTTGCAAAAATTAGATTTGTAACATTACTGTATTATTTTCAAACAGTGTCATCTGCATCTGCCTACATGATTTTGGATCAGAGTAATATTTGCTTTAATACATACTATTTTTAAAAAAGGAATACGTATGTGCTTATTGGAAACATGAATTCTTTCAGACTTGGTTTGGACATAAAACCATTTGCTTTTTCTTGTCAGAGGCTCACTTCCAAACTGAATCCAGAAACAAAGTTAACACAGATATAGGACATAAGCAGCATATTATAACTAACCTTTAGGCATAATCTAACCCAATAATAAAGGTACACAGATTTGTCCAGAATATTCATAGCGCTTATTTTCTGATCAAGAACACTGGCAATGCACAGCAGAGATGAAGTGGCATGCCCCAGCCCCAGCCCAAGTGTTTGCTGGAACCTCTGACTTGAAAGAGGAAGGATCTATTTAAATTAAACACAGGCTCAAAGGTATTGAGAAAAGCTCATCTTCTTATTAAGGAGCCCAATTAATTTGCATCAGTTGGAAGTCACTTTACTGTAGCGGAAAAAGAGCCCTAAGACATTACATAAAAGACAATGGAGTAGAAAGGGGATGGAAATGCCCTTCTGCAGGGGAGGGTCCCCTACCTGCCCTCTCAGCTTTGCTGTTTGAAATGCAGATCCTTTTCTTCCAACCCAGGCCGTGAGTGTGGGGTGGCGAAGGGGAAGCGGGTGGAGCCCCTAAAAGTTTAGATGAGGTGTTGTAAAGACTTACCAATGGGCATCACTAAGAAAAAAGGCAGCCAGCAGAGGACGAAGCAGCCCACCACGATGCCCAGAGTTTTGGCTGCTTTCTTCTCCCGGGAAAACTTGAGAAGTCTCACTGAGAAGTGGGTCTTGTTCTTGGAGCTGGCCACCCCGCTGCCTACTGCAGGGACATTTTTCCGATGGATCCGGAGCGTCACTTGCTCCGAGTCTGACTTGTCGGTCTTGAGGCCGTACTTGAGGCCCCGGCTCTCCCTCTTGGCCACCACGTAGACCCGGCAGTACATGACCAGGATGATGGTCAGGGGCACATAGAAGGAACCCAGTGCCGAGAAAAGCACGTAGCCGGGCTCCTCGTTGATCTGGCAGATGGTCTCGTCCTCGGGGGCCGGCTGCCTCCAGCCAAACAGAGGCCCGATGGAGATGACCAGGGAGAGCGCCCAGACGCAGAGCAAAGCCATGAGCCCTCTCTTCTGGGTGACGATGGTGGGGTAGCGCAGGGGGTAGCTCACGCCGATGTAGCGGTCGATGGAGATGATGCAGAGTCCCATGATGGACGCGGTGCAGCACAGGACGTCCACCGCCGCCCAGATGTTACAGAAAACCCTGCCAAAGGCCCAGTAGCCCAGGATCTCGAAGATAGCCGAGAAGGGCAGCACGGTGGAGGTGAGCATCAGGTCGGCCACGGCCAGGTTGACGATGTAGTAGTGAGTGACCGAGTGCAGATGCCGGTGACACACCACGGACAGGATCACCAAGATGTTCCCCAGCACTCCGAAAATGATGAGTCCCCCCAAGATCACCCCAAGCAGAATGGCCTTGGAAATGTTCACCGGTGTCGGCGGGTGGGTGCAGTTGGAGCTGTCGGAGGCATTGCCCGAGAGAAGCACCATGGTCCCGGCCCTGGCCGGGCGAGGTCCGGCTCTCAAGGGCCACCCCCCGGGCGGGGGCGGAGGCGGGAGCTACCCGGCTAGGAGTCAAAAGGTCTCAGCTCCGAGGAACCTCGCCCGCTGGGTAGGCTGGGGGGTGAGAGAGAGCGCGCGGGTGGGAAGCAACCCCAGCCTGCCCTGGAAACCCTCAGAAGGCCACGTAAAGGGGCAGGATATTAAATGCGACATGGCCAGAGCCGCGCGGGGCTGCCTGCGGACCCTCTCCACCCGCTGCGCAGGGCCCGGAGGGGTAGGGTGGGGTCGGGGAAGAGGAGGGGACTCCTGGGGCGGGGGAACTCCCTCCCTGCCCGAGGCTTGGTGCTAAACTGGAGAAGACACGTTGCAAAATGCAATCCCAGAATTACCGGGGTCTGCGGATCTGCACTGTTTGATCAGTCCTGGCTAGAATATGCAAAATCCTGCACATAATTTGGAGTTCTAAACTCCAGCGCTAGTCTTCCCCGACACCGAAAGCAAGTACCAGCCTGCGGTCGATGCTCAAAGGCTGGGGCAGTTGGCATCTGGGCACTCTCCCGGCCGGCTTTTTCCCACAGTGTGACCGCCAGCGGTTAACTCCAGCGAGATTCAGCTTCAAGGCGCGCAAGCCAGGGGACGCGGGTATGAAAACGTTTGCCGACGCCGAGGCGGCTGCGGAGGGTGGTTTGCGTGCGTCCTCCTGAAAAAGCGCAAAGAGAAAGGCGAGGCGTGAGCTGGAGCTCTGGGGAGCTAGGCCGTGCCCGGCTCGACGGGCCGTGGGACCTGCATGGGAGCCCCCGCGCCTCTGCGGTCCTGGAGCGCTTTGGCAGCGCCGCAGCAGAGGCAGCGCGGGAGGGGACCGCGCACCGCGCCGGGGTCGCTCAGAACCTGGCCCGGCGCGCTCTGCCGCGCGCCCTCGGCACTGGTTCGATAGCCAAAACAGACATCCCCACTGCAGCTCCGGGCGATCCGATTGCAAGCGGCTGTGCAGCGAAATTAAAATCCCCGAAGTCAGCGAGGCGCGACTGCGGCTGACGTGGGTGTCACACGGAGTCGAGCCGGTGGAAACCGGAGGATCTTCCAGGTGGCCCTTGGAACAGGTTGTTTCGCAGTTACCTGGAGGGGCGGCCTGGGAGAGGGAACCGCTGCGATCCTGGGGCCGCAGGACCGGTCAGCCCCACGCGCTCGCTCACGCGGGAGGAATCCACGCTCGGGTATGCGGAGCGCGCCGGGCTGTCCCCCAGCCAAGCGGGCCTGAAAGCCGGGTCCCGAGCGGTGCCCGGCGAGTCCCCAGGGCTGACTATGACCTAAGTGGATCAGGGTTCCTTTCCAAGGCAGACTGTGGTCCCGAGGACTCGAGTCTCGAGGCGCACCAGGCTGGTGGGGACGGGGGTGGGGGGTGGGGCATCGCTCTGCAGAAGGGGCTTTGCGACTGGCGGTCACTGCGGATTTTGTAGGCGCACAAATCAAACCCCCCCCAGCCAGCGGGCCGGGGACGCCTCGCATTTTCTGGACTGGGGGCCACAGCCTGCGTGTGAAATCTGGGTCTTCACAGGGCAAGCCAAGCCCAGGGCCTCCAGCAGGAGCACGGGGAGCACCCACCTCACTTTCTAAGGACCCTCGGCTGGAGCGCAGAGTGGAGATGCGCCCAGCACCCAGCAGAGGCGAAGATCACAAGTTGAAGAGCTCACAGGTGGCACCACAAGTAAGTGCGGAAACCCACTTCCCCCTGCCTCTGGGTAGTAAACACCGTGTTAAAGCACACTTCTTCACGCAGAGGGATCAGAACGGGGGGGAAAAGGCACAGGCCTTCTCCCGTGGGGAAAGTGCGGTCCCGTCGCACCCCGAGACCAGGGCAGACTCGCCCCCATCCACCTGGCCCTTTGGAGCCGGCGCTGGCGCGCACTCACCTGGTTGGCAGATCCCGAGCCACACCCCCGCGATTCCGTTTCGGAGAATAGCCCGGCCGCTAGTCGCTGGGAGACCCAGGGACCATCTCTCTGAGGAACCAATTTCTGGTCCTTTTACACCCCCGACTCACCCCTTGCCTACCGTTCACTGCCGTTGTCTTTACGCTTCTGGCTGGCTATCACTTTACCTGGAGTTTTAAATATAGAGTGAAAATAGGGGGAGAGTGTAGCCAGCTAATAACTCCACGTTCACCCTTTTAATATTCAGCTCCCGACATCAGCCAGAATGGCAAGGAACTTTGCTGTCCTCGGTGACGTAACACGAGTAGCCCCAGCGAGTACCGTATTCTCTTGCGGATACCGTATTACTCCGGGGTGAGCACAGTGCGTATCGTCTCATTTTTTTCCCCCAGTTACCTCGAGTGGATAGGGTTCTCGCTTTACTTAAAAAAGTGTGTGTGTGCTTTTTTTTTTTTATAGTAAATAAGCTTCAAAAGAGCTTATTTATTTATTTTTTTATGTATACAAGAGCTGTGCTACAGGCCAGAGATGCGGGGCGGGGGGGAGGGGGTAATGAGAGGATTCACCAGAGACAGAGTGGGGAGCAGAACAGGCAGACTGAAGAAATACACTGCTGAGGGGAGCAGCGAGCGAGACAACAGAGGTCTGCTTCACCATGTGGGTTGCTCCCTGGCCAGCCAGGAATCGAACTCGTGTTGTAAAGGCTGCGGATGGCTTCATAGTGCGGTGCTTAACCGTTTGCGCCACCAGGGAGGCCCCCTCCCCTCGAGCGAGCTCATTTAAACAACAAAAATTGACACTGTTCAGGAGATACTAGTGTATGATGTGCTTGAAGAACTGCCCAAGAAGTTACTTTTGAGCAGTTTGATTGGATTAATACTTGGACTAGTTTTTGTTAAAATTAAATATATTGTTATGCCATATACTCAAGTAAATTATGTTATTTGCAGGTATCTTAATAATGAAGTAAAGTCAGATAAAATTAAATAAATATGATTGTAATAAAACTTACTTCCAGGAAGATCACGTAAACATATTTTAACCTTATTAAATATCATCCACCTTTCATTTCTTTAGACAAATAGATTTAAGAAACATTATAATTCCATTTAAATAGTTTACATGTTTTTAAAGTGCCACACACTCCTTTGCAGTTTTCATAAGAAAATGCATCATTTAAAGGAGAGTTATGTCTCTTTCATTATTAGTTAAAACATGAAAAGCTGAGACACCAGTCCTATTACTTTTTATTTCTGGTAAATCTCATGTTCTGTTTACCTTACACTTGAATAAAAGCATGTATTTGGAATATTGTGAAAATATTAGAATTATCTCTGTTCTTGTTCCCACTCCTTTATCATATTCTTGCATCTTTATTGATTCAAGAAAGCACACTTTTCTTATTTACTAGGTTTCCTTAAACTTAGTAATAAGAGATGGTGATATGTACTTGAGATAAATTGTAATAAATCAATAAGTTTATTAATATTGTTACCTTTTCCAAGGGAGAAAATGTTTGAGAGATTCTTTTATAGGAACAATTCTCAAATGTCTTGAAGGAATGACTGCAGGAGGCTCAGAAGTCCTGCTTCATTAAAGTTCTAATATTTAGATTTCCTTCTCTCTTATGGCTGGCTAGTACCCATACCTGTCACCTTTGATTAGATCTTATTAGTTGATTTGACTTTAATAGTATTTAAAATATATAAACCATGGTATGCTCTTCCATAAGCTGAATTTGATGTTGTAGGAGAAGTATAACGGGTGAGGGGGCAGGAAAGCAGAGGATCCTGTCTGAGTTCACTCTAATAACTAAGTTACTTGCTCTCTCTGGGATTCCCTCCCACCCAATTCCCTGTGACTCTTGTGTATATAATGTCTGTCCTTCAGAAATCCCAACTGCCAGAGGGATAGCTAGTGTTTAGTTTCATATTCGTTAACTTTGTACCATTAATGAGGGTTTTCCACTAAATTCTGTTCTGATAGATAAGGAAAGTAGTATTATCAGGAAGAAAAGCAACTGAAAATTGCTCAGTTCTGTAAAATCAAAATGTTCTAAGGTCTTTGGAATGCCTAGTTCCTCACCTGAGAGCAAACAACAATCCACTCCTGCCCCCAACTAGCTTGTGCCAAGATTGGGATACTTTATATCTAGCCAGGTGCCTGTACTCTACCAGGTAGGTCTTTCAAATCTGCTTCTCAGTCTTTGACATCAATTTTTGCAATTTTGCAAAATTAACTCTCAATAGTCATAGATGCACAGACAGTAAACCATCCATTTGTGGTTTTGCCTTAAAGAATGCTGTGGAGTGCATGTACCAGAGAGTGCCTGAATTGGACCCAGGGGGAGATGGTAAGAACAGGATATCTGTGGGGTCACGAAGATGCTGTCCCTGCTCTATTGTAGGAACAGGGCAAAACTTAGCTTTCATCAGCCTGTGTTTCCTAATTATTAAAGGAAGACAATAAGGTCTTTCCGAGTCATTATTAAGATTGAGTGAGATTATATCTCATGAAGCATATTCACCCTCTTGTTGTAAATCTTATTATTACCCCTTTCTGCTCATTTTGTGTATTACTTTAAAGTGAAACATACCTCTAATTCAGAGTGGTCCAAATCCCACATCTAACATGAGTGTGATACATTAAACTGGAGAAATGTACTAAATGCCCACTGATGGATCAGAGCGACACACTATGGTGGCCTGGGAGAGCTGGCCCTGGCCACTGACTGCTCCTCCCTCCCCTCCCCTTCCCCCCCCCCCCCCCCCCCCCCCCCCCCCGGTTCCACATCTTGCAGGACCATGTAAATACATGTGAACACTTCATTCAAAGTGCTATTCTTTGGTCTTGGGCCTTGGGGTACACAGTCCTGTGACATGGTTTGCCCTTGAGAGGATCACCTCAGGAAGCAGAACTCAAGATCATGAGAGTGGTTGTGAAGCCATTTGGGGCAGGTGATTCTGGGTTCCAGAGTATGATCTGGAAGGGAGGACGCAGACTCCAGGCAAAGGCATACCTTAGTCCTGTGACCTCTTTGTCCCATCATAGCCAGAGGGCATCAGAGGTGGGCTCTCTAAAGTCTGAAACCCAAGGCAGAGGCCCTATTTCCTGGACCAAAGGCATAGAAATGGGCTTCAGATACAGGGGATGTTGACAAATGCACTGAAGGGGAAGGCCCGTAGATGGTATTGCTTGGTTTAGGGCTTGCAGTCTTAGCACGATTCAGATTGGTGGACAAAAATAGGGTGTGTGTGTGTGTGTGTGTGTTTAGACTCTGGAGGAAGGAGGGCTTGCAATCAACATGTACCCAGAGCCTTTGATTGGCAGCACTCTATTAATGACTACTGAGAAAGTGTGGTTTTAAGGAAAACAAAGAGAATCTGTCAATCATTATCTTAGAAAACAATACACGGCAGAGTTGTTTTCTGGGTTTTATGATTCCAAGAGACAGAGTAGAGGTCTTAATGTCAGTATCCACCAAAAAGACCTGGCTTTTCAACTAATTCTCCTAAGGCTTAAAAAGTTTAAGTGGGAGGAAAATGAAAAACATTTCTCAGAAAGATATTGATGCAGTATCAAGACACAATTCTCTAAACAAGCATTGTGTTCTAATCCTTTATCGAACTGAGAAAAGTGCACATACACCCCTAAAGGAAGTCTTGGATGGGGTAATAATTCTGTCTTAGGCATCATTTGTCCTGTGCAGCCTCATCACCCTGAGAAAATAACTTGTTCGGAGTATTATGAATCATGGCATTCATTCCATCCCTACATTGTATGTCATGGCGGAAATATGGGGTGAAGTCAGCCATTAGCTAGATCAGGTACATCATTCCTTTAAAATAATAAAATTTTGCTCTTGCATAGTAAATGTGAGTTAAAGCATATGAATCAAATTCTTTCAATATGTTCATTGAATATCATCTGAAAGGGAAATAAAACACCTCAATCAGTATCTGTACCAAATGGAGAAATACTTTGCCTTTCTTCTCCACATACTGACGGACTGCTAGAGACACACTGAAATACATATTGATTTGTATTTCTTATAAAATGCATGCTCATAACACACTTTGAAAAGTTAGATATGTATTAAAAATAGAGCTTCTCTGTAATTCTACCATTGGGGAAATACTGTTAAATATTTGTTGCATTTTCTTTTTTGTCCCATGTATGTATGTATATATTTGCTTGTATGTTTTTAATCTTTCAATGATCTAGTCAGAAAACTGCTGGAGGCATTTCAAGCAGGAAGTGATTTAATACAGAGAATTAGAGGCTTATAAATAGTTAGGACAGATTGGGCAGCAGATCAGGGAAAGTTATCTATTTGCTTTTGGGAAATCTGGAAGTGCAGGAATATCAGGGAACCACAGCGATGAGTTCAACTGTTGGCTGGGTCTTCACCCCTGCATGCCACTGTTGCAGAATGACAATGGCTTTTGCTTCTCCCTCATTTTCAGAAATTTCCCAGGAATTCCTCTCATCACTGATGTGACCAAGAATCCTCCCAGTAGAGTGTCTTCCAGCCATTGCAATGCAGAGAAGAGCACTGAAGGGGAAGTAACTCTGAGTAGCCATTTGGTATAATGTCTGTTGCCCATTTCACAATGGAGTTTCCCCTGTTCATCTGCTTGACTTGTAAGAACTGGTTGGTTATGTGCTATGGCAGCCATGAAAATGTGTCGCTCAGATAGCCTGCTGCAAAATTGAGTAAATCTGTCTGACAGTCCTAGATCTGATCCTTCTGGGGCCGTGCCTGTGCTTAGGCCTCCCTTGCTACAGGCTGCTCCCAACTGGGGGGCTGAGCAATGCAGGCCCATTACTACCAGGCACAGAGACATTGTCTCAAGGACGCCCCATGGGGCAGCCAAAACTTTCTAATACCTGCGCAGTGTTCTGACACTTCATTTCCAATCCTCATCCCTTTCCTTCTCCTTCACAGGATTCTGATTTGGATGATAATCTGAATGCACTCCTTGCCTTCTCCAGTTCCTCCTTTCATCCTTACAGGAATTTTCCCAATGACTATTTTGTGTGATTAATCATGTCTTGGTCTGCTTCTTGGAATACTGAAAAGAATGCATATATTTAGGAGGTTAGCCCTTTATGATATTTGTTGCTATATTTTCCCATTACAGATATCTATAGACAAGCACTTCATGAAATTACATAAACAGAGAACTCTTCCTATTGTGAGACTTAGCCACTGTTCCTCCATCTTGTGTATAACCACCATTTTAGTATTTCAAGTTTTGCTTACTCAAGAATAAATAGCCTGCATTCCAGAGAAGGTTTCAACCCTCACCCCACTCTGGTCTTATCTCGGACAGCCAGCCACAGTGGAGCCGAGCAATTCGGACCACTAATGGGGTCAAGACAGCCATATAATAGAGCTGCATCTCGGTGTGACCAATCAGCTCAAAAACTGAAACCGTGTGCCCACCGTTGTTAGGAAATGCACCCGTATAACCAATGAATGGTTGCCAACATGATTTAATTTTTTAATTTGCTTGTAACCCTATAAAAGATCCCTGTTCCCTTTGTTCAGGGCTCTCGATCTCTGCTGCTGTGTCGGTGTGTGTCATGAGCCTGGACTCGAGCCCGAAATAAACTCCTTTGTATTCTTGCATCGGCTGACTGTGTGTCCTTGGGGGCTGCATTTGTTGATGCTGGGTACAACACCTATAAGTTCTTCCATAATTAACAGGAAGTAACATGTTTATTTATACTCTAGCAACCTATGGACCTAATCTGTCCATATTTTGTAGATATTTTACAGAAGTTTACTGGTCTGTGATTTTTCTCCATGGTCAGTCTTTGGCCTCTAATAGCTTCCTTATTTCTCTCTACTCAGGGAATTTTCCTTGCACACTTAGGATTTCTGATAGGATTCAATTCAACCCATAAAAAGCCAAGGAGAATCTGCACTCATCATAAAATCCTTCTAAAATGAAAACCCTATAGAATAAATATTGAGAAAGAAAAGTCCCTTAATTTTCTTTGGCTACTGTTCAGCAGAAAATGTATGATTATTTTAAAGGCTTAAAAATAGTGTTCCTTCTTTTTTATTGAAGGATAAGCTAAAGTTCTGGATCAATATCCAGAGTTTTTATCCAGTCTCGCTAATTTAACCATCGTTAATGCAGTTTCTTTATTTCTATAAGATGTGGTCCATAAATTGATAAAATTGTCTTGTTATTCTGTACAGTATAAGAAAAAACAAAACAAAAACAATTTTTACTGTTTTTTCCCCACTTTTTGAAAATACTTTCATCATTTTGGTATATCCCGGTATAGTAATCAAATGAATTCAGTTAAGAAAGTTATAATAAGCCCATAAGGAAAAAAACACCCAGAAGTCAGCCCATCTGATTATATCAGAAGCACCATTATTTTTGGAAAATTTTGGGAAAGAATTAAATTACCAACAGAGAAAAATTTGGAAAAAACCTGACAAGCTGAAGATTTTGAGTAGTGGCTTAATATTTTTAGTGATAAGTGAGTTTCCAAATATGAGAGAGAAAATAATTTTTTACCCAGTTCTTGTATGTATAAATAAATCTTTAAAAAAAATGAAGCTATCTAAATACCAATTTAGATTAGTTGAAAGAGTTTGATCTTCATTAGTCTTTTTTCCATGGCTTCCCAAAAACATCAAATCTAAATTAAAAATTACTTGCTTTGCAAATTGAAATTCAAGGCACAACCTTAGCTTTCCAATCAGATTCACACTGGATCAAAGATCTAGTGTTTTGTTTCAAATTTTGTACTTTATTTGGAAATTTTTCTTAGTGATTGAAAAATGTCCTTGTCATATATTCTTTTTATTCTTCTTTGAATTTATAATTGTGCTAGTTAAGGAAATAATATCTATAATCTCTCTTTTTTCTGTCTACTGGGTAGTTTAAAGAATTGAAACTTTATTATTTGAAAGTTGTACAAATGCAAAGATAAAATGTTTAAACTAATGTCTTTTTTTAGAAGGGAAAGTTTTGTCTGTTGATTCTATTCGTTAATAGTTTCTATTTACTGATTTAAATATTTTTATCACCTTATAGTTATTGGCCTTTATATTTTCATAATATTGTCATACAGCTTTTAAAATTTTTACTCTATTTTTGTGTCTGTGTCATTTTTCATTTCTAATATTGTTTTAATATTCTTTCTCTCCTATCGATATTTCTATTCAGCCCTTCAATAGGGCTATATATTTTTTTGAAACACTGGTTATGATTTTGTCTTCTCTTGTTTCTGCTTATTTACTTCTACTCTATCTCTCACATTATCTTTATTCCTCCTTCTTTCTGCTACATTTGTGTTAACCCTGAAATTTCTATCTTATTTTATGGGGGTGGTGAATAATTTCAGTCTTTACATTTTAAAATGCATTTGTTAATTTAAATTCATTGTATGTATCACTTAGTCATATACAGGAAGTTCTGATGTCATTTCTTTTAAAAGTTTTTTCCAAAGCTTTTAAAAAGAAGATTATTGTCAAATACTAAGAATTAAAACAAATGACTGAAGAACTAGAGGTAGTTTGTTATTCACATTTTGGAAATGGCACATTATTGGTTATCACTACCACAATTTGTTGATGTCCTTAAGTAATGTTTTCTTTTTTTGAGAAATACCTTAAAAGTATCTTGGGAAGAACGAAATTTCTTTCTTTTCTTTTTTTTTGTTTTGCTTGTTGCCCTTTGCGTCATTTAATAACCTAAAAGTAATAGACAAGGTCACAACAAGAGATAGCATGTCACTGGTTGTGCCTCACACCTTACCAATTATATCATAATTATTATATTAATTGTCACCAAAATTTCAACTTCTCTTTTTCTAAACCAATGAGTCTTCACTCTTTAATTTTACGAGGATAAAATCTTTGGTGTTTGAAAATAGAGCTACACAAATTCTTTTTACAAAATTTTCTTTTCTGTTGTGGTTTTTCTTCTTTCAATGTGGAAATCTGGGAAACCACAATTTCTTTTCCGTCAAGTAATTTCCAACACAAACAAAATAATAGTTTCTAAGAAAAGTTCAAAACTTCCTATAATTTATGATTCAAACCAAATATATCTTTGGGATTTTCCCACACTCTATCATTGGAACCCCATATGTACAAACCAAGTCACATCAGTATAGGAGTAATTATATTTCCTAAGAGTTCAATGGCATTATGAGTAATGATAGCTACACTTTAAATGGAGTTTATAGTTTTACAAGGAACTTTCACATTTGTCATCTCATTGGAGTTTCTAAATAACCCATGGGATACTCCTTTAATGCCTGCGTTTTAAAGATGAAGTAAAAAAAAAATAAAAATAAAAATAAAGATGAAGTAACTGAAGTTTTGTTGGCCTAAAGCATCCAGTGACTGAGAGATAGAAACCGAGGCTTTCTCAATCTAAATCCCTAATTATTCTTTTCAATATGAAACTGTAAAATAAAATGAAATTATTGTAAGACTGGAGTATCATCAAATTGAATAATGCTAATGTTCAGCACAGCAATTGGCAGTCAGCTGGGATTAGAAAAATACACTTTTGGGGCCTGTAGGGTAAAGAAAATGTCAGGCTTTTCTGCCCTCCCGCCATCAGGATAGATGATGGATCCTTGTCCTGAATGCATGCCTGATGGCGGGCACCTGGAATAGGGTGTGGGCATAGGTAGATGGGATTCAGCTGAGCTAACACTGTGCTTTTAAGGGCGGCGTCACGGGGACACCAGTAGCAGCAGTAGAAGCCGAAGACAAAGCCGAAAGAGAAGCCGAGAAGCAGCAGAACGAACTCCAGAGAGCTCAGATAGAGTGAAGACTTGCTGGGGGCACCCCTGCCTGCCATATGTCTGGTGAACCCCAATAAAAAACCTGCAAAACTACTGAGGACTCTGACTCCTCCTTTACCCGGTCTGCATGGGATCAGAGAACCTGCACTGTGGCCAGTCCTGGCCCTTACAGGGCCATATCCAACCCTTCATTCTAACTTTTTGTCCTCCAGTTAAGAGTTTTAAAAATATTTTTGTTTGTAAAAACAAAAAAAAAACAAAAAAAAAAGAAAAAGTAGATTTCTGAAAGTGATATGCATATGACCTACAAAGCCTAAAGTACTTCCCACTTGGTCCTTTACAGACAAATTTTGCTCATCTATGTTTTATCTGCTGTTTGCCTTAGGCACGGCTTAAGGTGCCTGCTTTGCTGGCTAAAGCTCCCCGCAAAAGAAGAATGTGGGTTGAGGTTCATTTAAGCTGTTTTCTGGGCACCTCTGGTCTAAACCTCCCACAACCTCTCTAGGACCCCACCCAGCATTTTCTCAAGCTGAGGAACTGGACCCCTGTAGAAAAGGGTGATTCCTTGGAGCTGGTTTGCCCCAGGCGTTGGCCTCTGGGCAGGCTGGCTGTGCACCTTTGGTGCAGTGTGAATGGAAACAGTTTCAGAATCATTTTATAATTCAAGCATCCTCAAAAATGTTCTGGAATTTCAGACTTAGATCTCTGTTATAGTAGGGTCATTTTTCAACACTGAGCCCCCAAAATGGGGTTGTTTTCTCTACTTTTGTATTCTCAATCTGAGCAACTGTTTGAAGACAGTTGAAAATGTTGCCTTCTATTTGAAATATTAAGTTAACTGATTCTATCTTTTATAAATTTTAAATGTGATTCATAATTGAAAATGTAGTTATTAAAGATGGTCTTTCCACAGACCACTGTTGAATGAATAACTGCTATGCCAAAGTCATGCTAAAAGCTAGCAATACAATGATAACACATCAACCTGCCCTCAAGGATTTCTGCCCTCAAGGATTTCTGGGATTGGAGAGGAAGGTAGACTTGCAAACAATTGCATTAACACAAGTAACTTAGTGGAAAACTATGAACGCATTTTTGGCATTGAATATGACTGGATCTTGACAACCCTTCTGGCTTTTTTTACTGTTAAAATGAATTTTAGAGGTAGCTATTTATCAATGACTAGTCTACAAATTCTACAGATATTTACTGGCAATGCACTATATATCCGCAAGCCTTTTCCCTCCCACTTAAAAAAGTTCTATAAATAAGAGGGCAAGTGTAGGGTAAGTGAAAATGATATCAGGATTTTCTGCCCTCCCACCATTAGGATAGATGACGGAACCCTGTGATTCCGAATGCATGCCTGATGGCGGGCACCTGGAGCAGGGTGTGAGCATATGTAGATGGGATTCATCTGGGCTAAGACTGAGCTTGTAAGGATGGCATCACGGAGACGCCAGCAGAGAGCAGAACCATGAGAGAGCAGAACCACGAGAGTAGCAGAGATGACCAGAGAAGGCCGGAGAGCCCAGAAAGAGTGAAGACTTGCTGGGGGCTGGGAGGCCTGCAAGCCCCCGGCACCCCTGCCTGCAGTGTACCCAGTAAAATCCCAATAAAAGCCTGAAAAGCCACGGAGGGCTCCAGGACTCCTCCTTCGCCTGTCTGCTCGAATCATAGAGAACCTGCACTGTGCCCATTGCTGCCACTACAGCAAGTGTACCCAATACTGAAAATAACTTAGAGCTCCAAATAAATGTTGAACCAGGAATCCTATCAGCACCTTATGACAACACAGACAGGCACTGACCACCATCAAAACTGCTCACTGTTTC